ATCAGATTATGGACGGTGTGTGTTCTCAGAGCCTTGAATTTCATCCTAGGACTATTGATTCTTGGTTGGCGTACCATCGTTGAGTGAAGATTGATTGAGAAAATTCTGTATGATAAAGAGGATGCAGAGAATGCAAGAAGAACAAGTTGATTTAATTGATTGGTAAGCTTAGATAAGGGTGTTGTAAAACTTTATAGGGGCTGTTAATATTTTGGCGCTTTCATCTTTATTATAACCGTTAATGATATCCATGGCGGTTATTCTCTAACGGTGGGCTGGAATACTGCACGGATATAAAAGTGTGCCATTACTTTTTGTACGAGTGTAGTGCAGTGGTTAGAAGTACTTTGCAATACACATAGGACCTTGGTTCGATTCTGTGCCCCAGACAAACCGGTCTCGCATCCCTCTGGGGTCGGAAAACTGATATCAGACTCCCACGACCAACTTTCTATTAACCTCGGCATTGATCAAGTAATTCTTCGTATTTTTGTTGAGCAAACGCGAGGTGTTATTATTCTTTATTCACAAATGAGCTGACGTTTCGGCGGATTTCGCCTTCCTCAGAGCCGCTTTCTATGAGGTCTCCACTAAGCACATTATATTCCATGTGATTTCTGTGCGGTTGGTCTCTACGTGACATACTTAGTGGAGACCTCATAGAAAGCGGCTCTGAGGAAGGCGAAATCCGCCGAAACGTCAGCTCATTTGTGAATAAAGAATAATAACACCTCGCGTTTGCTCAACAAAAATACGAAGAATTACTTGATATCAGACTTGTCTATGAGGAGGAAAACACTATTTGAAACATCTGTATCCCATAGAAATAAGCCATGTATACTTCGCATATCATATCCTTAAAGGACTGCTTAATGCTGCACACGTTGCCCTTAACTGTCCTTTGTTCTTGTGTCCTTATTGTTTTGTCGAATACTACACACTACTCGAACACTCGAGTATTTCTAATTTCTGAGGCATTCGAATTGAATACTTTGGATACGTCGAAATCTCAGCATGTCTAACATTTGGATAAACGAAGAACTATGTCATTTCTCATTCAAAATATTCCAGCAGGGAATTTCTTGTGAGGCTTTAAATTTCTGCCACAGGATGATCTCGCCAAGTAATGTGTGTTTATTCAATGTTTTTCATCAATAAGCAGACACGAGGTTGTTAATATAGAATTTATTAGAACACAATTGCTGACGTTTCGGCGGTTTCGCCTTCTTCAGAGCCTGGAAAGGTCAAATTGAGATGCGATCTACTCAGCCAAACACTTTCATAACCCTAGCAGATAAAACTTGATAAATCGATTTGTGTTCGCATAAGAAACAGCTTCATTCAAACACCTACCTACCGCACCTCTAAGACGCCAGCTAGTTCGCAACCGCCTGTACGACCGTCTATGTACAACAAAAAACTGCATAATTTGCCCAAATGGTAGAGACGGTGATTGCATGAGTTCGGGTACAGTCTATCTGATCTCTTGTAAAGCGTGCGGGCACGAATATGTTGGCGAAACGGGTAGACCGCTCTGCGTCCGCATAAAAGAACACCTAGTCGGTAAATCTAAACTAAAACACAATACTCCACTAGGCGCGCACAGGATGCAAGAACACAACGGAGAAGATTTTGAGGTAGGAGTCACTATCCTTACGCAGGAATCGAAAACATCAGCGCGGAAAACTCTTGAAGCGTTTTGGATCAATGCCAAAAATTCAAAAATGAACCGCAAGGAGGAGTGTCTTGTCATCACGCGTGACCTGGCGCCATACCTCAGGCTGATCCAATGATCTGACATGGACCCAGTTATCGACCATGTATTACTCTGTGCGGCGGCTATCCACCAACTAACTTAAATACTTACGACAAATAAACGGTAGGTGTTTGAATGAAGCTGTTTCTTATGCGAATACAAATCGATTTATCAAGTTTTATCTGCTAGGGTTATGAAAGTGTTTGGCTGAGTAGATCGCATCTCAATTTGACCTTTCCAGGCTCTGAAGAAGGCGAAACCGCCGAAACGTCAGCAATTGTGTTCTAATAAATTCTATATTAACAACCTCGTGTCTGCTTATTGATGAAAAACATTGAATTATCAATTAATGCCGAGGTTAACAGAAAGTCGGTCATGGGAATTACTAATGTGTGTTTAATTGCAGATGAAATAGAATCCTTGCAGATATTCAAGTGTATTGAACCTCTATGGATAGTTAGGCTGGTCATTGTTGGTCGAGTGCTGCTATTCTCTCTATGAAATTCGGTATTCATGCTGCTATACTTCTCCCACCCACGATATGGTTATGTGATGACGTTCTCAGGTCGTCGTTACAGATAGTCACAAACCTATATAGGTCGGTCAATAGCCTATGGACCAAGTTTCGTCTGAGAAGGGGGTAAATTGGCGCTTTGGTTTCCACTTGTCCGGATTTCTGGATGGAGATGTCGAACTGTTCCTCGAATGACCAAAATTATCGATGTGATGCTCACTTCATTATAGGTACTTCTTTGCTTCATGCTATCTTATACAGTAGAAGTCTGACCGATAAAACAGCGGCCACTCTTATTTGTTCCTATGAGTAACATTTCGAACCCTTCCTTGAATAGCCAAAATTATCTATGTGGAGCTCAATTCACAAAAAAAAGTGTTCTCTGGACTCATTTTACTTCGTTCAAAAAGGTTTGACCGATAAGATAGCGACCACTGTTATTTGTATCTGTGAGTACCACTCTCCACCGACCTGTAAAGAGTTGACTTGCTCACACATTTACCACAGAAGAACATGGTCTACAACGGAGCGTCCATCCTCCATCCCACTATGGAGATGATGGGATAGGAGATGAACTTATAGAGGAGAAAGAGTGAATTCTTCGCTGTCCGATCCTATCCACTTTGCTTCTCTTTTCACCATCCAATGGTTTTCTCTTTGTAGGTTTTGACTTACGTTACATAGGTTTGCTATAGTTACCTGTTATTCCGCCTTTCGTTAACAACAAATTACTTGTTCTAGTTGAGCCCGGTGATATGCCCTGAACACGGTAACTATAGAGGAATACAATTAAACATATTTTTCGTACATCAGCTAAACGCTTTATTTTGGCGGTAATAACTTACTTGAAACCATTTGTATTACTCTGACTACTCGTGCAGGTTGTAATCTAATTAGGCAGAAATCGCTGGTGTGTTATATTCAGAGGATCTAAACTTCTAAGCTGCATATTTCTATGTATCATTGACCCTTCTGAACTATGTACACTTCGGTATAGCAACGCCTTAAGCTCATAGAACGAAAAACCTTTAATGTGAAGCTATAAAATAGATAGGAAGGAGGACTTTCTAGATTTTATTACCATGCTTTCAAAACTTTTCTCCTCAATTCCAGTGAGCAATTTTAAAAAATATAATGGCTAAGTCATACACATCGTCTTCAATCAATACTACCTACAATCCTGTTAATCTAGTAATTGAAGCAGCACCAATAATATCTCCAATCGAAGTCCTCAGCTTGGAATATTCTTCTAAGCGAATGAAACATCCGTTATTCACCGCAGTTTCGAAGTCGATCCAAAAGACAGAGCTTTGGCTGGACAGTTTAGGAAGTGTAGTTGACTTCTAAAAAGGCTAGGATTCGAGATTCAGGAGTGATGGAGCCGGATTAGTGCTATAAATTAACAATCGAACCGTAGATTATTACTGGATTACTCCCCGCATTGATCACTAACTCACTTTGTTCCAGATCTCATTATGCAACGAGTTCACTACGACTCAGCGTTGCTTCAGAAAGACTTATCCGGAAAACTGGTACAGTTTGTGAATGCGAAAGTGTTAAGAGATGGTAAATTGATCTCGGACCACGTCTGGGTATGTCCGAACTATTCTCACAGTGGCTTTTCTTTTTTATTTCATATGCTAACATGAAAAGGTCCCGTGTGGCGCAGCAGTTGCAGGCGATCCCCGCACCCATGGATCACCAAGCCTTCCATCTTTCCGGGGTCTGCAAATTGCTACCAAACTTGTCTGGGAGGATAACAACACCGGCTCAATACATCGGCAGGCCACCGCAAGTCATTGTAAAAGGCCAGACATGCATTCAATCACCTCCAAAGATACTTAATGAAGTCGAATGCATGGCGCATCCCTTAGGAATTGATCAACGCCGACAGCTTTTCATTTTATTTACTAACATGAGATCAACGCAATTAGGGAGATCGTACAGTAGTAGAAATCCGATGAACTGTTGCCTTCTGATCAATAATGCAGATACGGCAAGGAAAAATTTACGAAAACCTCTGAGTTGGCGCGTTCACACTGAGAATAAGCAGATATTCAGATGTTACAACCGATCGCTGAAAATCTGACGCCCATCCATATTGACATTACTATAATTTGTTCACCACTATGTTATGCTTTAATCTAGGAGCAGTTAGAGTGCGGTAAAGACAAGGAATACTTGTGCACAGTCAATAGCCATGTTTTTTATGTCCACAATTACTTTCGAAAGCTTTATTAGATACAACAAGGCTTTGAAGTTCACGGACAAAGTGTGATCTGGCGTTACGAATTTCTCGATGGGATGTGCTGTATGTAAGGAAGATGGTGCTGGTTCGACTCCGGCCTCAGCACTCTCCTCCAGTCCACGTGGGAATCGCCTTAGTCTGGCCATCTCCATGATTGCAAGAATTGGCTTGGCCAGCACTGCACAACATTCATAAACAATACGAAGTCTACAAGCAGCGGCCGAAACAACACGAGAAGTGTTCGAAGACCTTCGTGGACGAGGAAAGCTAGGAAAACGACTTGAGTGTAAGAAGAGCTGGGATCCACATAGTAGATTTGATGACGGGTCATGTAGAATAAAAAAAAAACTACATGTTATATAAAACGATAGAACAGAACCGACTAGATAATAACAGACAGTGAAAAACGATCTATTAAGTCCGTCTCTACATAAGAAATTTGCAATAAATCAATACGCATTCTCTGAATGGATTCTAAGTAATTGAAGGTGCGCAATGGAAAGATTGTCGATGCACTTAGCGTGTTCTTCGACGAAAGACGAAGGGCAGATATACAAGTGGACTGCGATGGTTTAATCCTTTCACCCGGATTCATTGATATACAAATTAACGGCATGTTGCTTTTATGTTTTCACTCACTGTTCATTTTTTGCCCACATATATGACCTAGTACCCTCCAAGAAGGAGCCCACCTGTCAATTTAAAGTAGATATAACATCAAATATACTTCAAGATAGGTCAATGATTTTCTTAATGCCTAATATCCAATGTGAGAAGATTTCCTGTCACACACAGAGAGGGGTACTTGGGCCTGCCTGAGTTGATCTCAGCTCATAGTGAGCGCGGCAAAATGTTCGGTGTCGAATAGATGAGGCAGCCACATGGATTAAGGTGTTAGGCCTCAAGTGTTAAATACTTATCAAGAGTGCACTTCAACAACTCCACTGAGAATCGAACAAAAATATCGGAACGTATATCGGAGAAATCAACAACGCAATCCAATTTTTCTCTTCCCAACAGAAAAATGTATTGGTAGTGAAAGTATTAGTTGTAGTACCCATTTTATCTTTAGTTTTATTAGGTGATCATAGAGGAAGTGGTGTTCTTCAAAGGGAACCGCACAAAAATAGACGAAAAAAGGGTCCGCTAGTGATGATAAGGTGTCTTTGAATAGTCACTGGAATCCGTTGCCTACCTAAGCGTATCGACTGATCACTCCCCGATCAATATCTTTATAAATAGCCAATTTCACACGGAAATAAGTTCAAGCATAGAAACTGGCCTCATCCTATGGCTTATTCAGTGTCGACAAACGACTAGAAACATCGATAAAGTGGATGAACTTATTCTTTAAAGAATACACGACAATAAAAAAGCTCTCTTTGCCTAGATAATCCGTAGCTTAATTCCTGAGGACGAGCTCTTTCCTTTGAGGAGGATTTGGTGTCGATTTCTCGTCATTGACGTCGTCAGATGAGGAGTATGAACAAGGTGTGCAATTGGTGTCACGAAAACTTCTGCAATATGGCGTCACGTCATTCGCCCCGACAATCATCAGCAGTGCACCGGAAGTTTATTCTCGTGTAAGTGTCCCAACGTCACCTAAACATTTACTAGGAAATGTTTGTGATTCCAAGGGATCGTTGCCTACCGAGACTTTGTTTAGTGGTAGGCTTAAACATCATCTGATAAACCCACTCAACCATTATCTTGATTTTTAGCGCATTCGCTTTAATGTGAGACATATATGGCTCACATGCTTCGTTACTTGTAATTAGACGTTCACTTGATACGTTATTATATGTTTATCTCTTCTATTGCGTCTTTGTATTGATTAATTGTTGTATTGTATTTTGAAAACTAAAATTTGAAACTGAGCTAAAGTGGAATTTAATGGACATACATTGACGTCAGTGTTTTAATGACGCCATTGTGAATTCATTCTCGATCTGTAAAAGAAAACGAACTTTATATATCATTCCTCGTCAGCACCCATCTATAACTGCTTGATCCAGTGCAAATATATGAATCCTACTAATTTAATCCATCTATGTATCTGTACTTCAAGAAGAGGCGGGAAGCACAATGGTTGTTATGCGGATCACCACGACCACAGTTTTGATTTGATCGTTCTCTGGGCTCACCGAGCATCTCAGCCTACAGAGTTTGGGGAACTGGCACTGGACTTCACTGGATAAGTTCATTCTTTGCAACCCAATTGCGAACGCTCTAGCCGGGCTATCTCAGGACTCCAGAGAGGATGAAATCGACGAGCATTCAACGAAATTCGAGGTGAAATGAAAATCCTCAGACGGCAGCCGAAGCCACACGTAGGAAATTGGAAGAGCTTTGCGGATGAGGGATGCGGGGAAACGAATCGAATGTGAGAAGTGCTGGGATCTGCACAGTAAACGTGAAACACGGGAAGTTCGTGAAAAGAGAGAATTTATTATATTTAATTTATCCACTTGAAATAATAGAAAGAAGTTTTTTGGATACAGTAACAAGGGCATCTTACGGTTTGAATTGATTTCTCGTTGGGGCTATTTGTCCTATGTATTGTGTTTGCCTGAAAAGACGCATGTAGCGGCAATGGTCTGAAGCGCCCTGTAATACACATAGGATCGATCCCCGCGCTGCAAGCTCACAAAGCCCCTCATTCCTCCAGACTCGGCAAATTGGTACTGGACTTGTCAATGGGGATGACAGCATTGGCTCGATACATCGGTAGGCGACTGCGAGTTATTGTAAAAGGTCAGGTATGCATTCAGTCACCTCCGACGATCCTTAATGAAGTCGAATGCATGGTGCACCCTCTCGGATTGATCAATGCTGAGAGTTTTATCCTTTATGCTTTATCATTTATCTTTTATACTTAGTCCTTTATTGTGTTTGCTTCCGCGAAAACTATCTGCTTAGGTATTTACTTTCTGTAATAGTTCCCAGGATCGACTTTCTCTTAACCTCGGCATTGGAATATGAATGTGTCGTTTTCTTGTTCAGCAATCGCGAGGTTTTTAAACAGCATACATTTACTTCCATAAAAACACAATACAATACAACGCTAGCTGACGTTTCGGCAGT